CCCCCTCTCGTGCCCCTCCCCGCCTTTACGTTGCCTCTCTCTCGCGGCTTTTTGTGGCAAAGTTCTGATGTAGGTGCCCTTGTGGCTCCCTTGCTCCTGGTGCCGGCCCTGGTTACACACCTCCCCCCCTCGGTTTGACTTTGGGGTGTTTGGTTCGTTCGGGTGGTGGTAGTTTGTTGTTTTCCTGATGGAGATATTCTATCATTCGTGTTTCAGGGTTACCATCCGGGATGGGTGGATGCTATCTTTTTGAAATTATCCATTATGAGCCCGTGCAGAAGGTTAAACAGGAGGTGTGCGTGTGGCAGCCTGAAGTTACTTGGGCGAGTGCGTTTGTGTGAGCTGAATTCACTAGTGTGGTTTAGTGGTTTCAGTGAAGATGCTGCCTCCTGAGCATTGAAACGAGTTTGTTGTGCCTTCATCTGGCAACCAGTATCATCTCAGCCCTCAGGGAGAGGAAAAAAAGGCAGATGGCCACGTTCAGTCTGTGATTTCATTGACCAGTGTTGAGATGTGTTACAACTTTGCTCTTTCTTGCAAAACCTTTTTGGATGAAGGAATTTCGTGCCTAAGTGCAGGGCTGTAAGAATTAACCAATGTGAGGCTGACTTGCAGTGCTTCAAAATTCACTGAACTGCAAGGGTGGGGGAGTATGTTTTCATTGCCTTGTTTGTAAGGTTGGTTTTTTTTGGCATTTAGGGTTTTTGGTCATTCCGGAGGGTATGATATTTTGGTCCTTTTTTTAAAGTACAAACCAGAAATAGATCAATATCTCTGACAGGACAGACATGTACATACCCTGCTACCAAACTGCTTTTTGTTTAGAAAAATAAATGATAAATTTCAGAAAGGCTCAGGTCCTTTCTACGCTTGGAAACTTGTGTCCAGCATTTTCAACAGGCAGGATCACGAGTCAGTTGGACCAATTTAATAAAGATGATGTTTTCACCTCATGCTGTTGGAAAAGGCTTGTCTTTGCAGGTATCCTACCAGTACTTGCATTGCCTTTTTTTTGCAGACAAATAGCAAAACTAGTAAGAAAGAGAAAGTGGTTGAGTTGGAAATGGGCTTTTCTGTTTTCTTCTCGCTGTAATTGCATTGCAGCTTTGTGATAGGTCTAGCTCCACAGGAGTTACTCCCAGTGAACTGTTTGTGACCAGGTTTGTTTTCTTCCTTTAAAGCACCTAGAAGACTCCAGTGAGAATTGGAGTGTGACAAGTTGGCAGAGGAAAGGAGTTGTCGTTTCCATTCCATGGATCCCTTGGGTGCTCCTTCCCAATTTGTGGATATTGACAGTCTGCTAGGCTGGAGTGATGCCTATGAGGCTAAGCAGCTGGACCCTCACCAAAATCCTGTTGAAAAAGCTCAAGTTGCTGTTAGATCACCTTTTCCATACAGAAAAGACATAAATGCAAAAGTAGTCTTATGGTAAGTTCCATGTGGTTTTGGGGTGTTTGCCATCGCTTCTCCATTTGCTGGTAGATCAAATTGCCTCATATTTCAATTGCTGCTGTAAAGTCTTCAGGCCCTCCTTTCTTGTATGAAACATTACAGGTCTGACAAGAGAATACTTTTTTTGTTCACTGTAAACCTGCAAGCCTTGTAATTTGCTGCACTATGGGTTATAAATGGCATGTTCATAGGCATTCCTTGACGCAGCAGACTAGAACTGTACCTCCCGCTGTTGTACTCTATACTTCATACCAAAACACAGTTGGGCACTTCAGTGTAAATCTTTAAACTTTAAAAAATATACTTACTGTTTACTAGTTTGCTTGCTTGCTTTCTTTGCTGGTATAATTCTGCTTTCACTTTTCAGATTTAGATCAGTATTTCAGTATTCCTTTTATGTGGTTCTTGTGGCTTGCATTGGGCTCTTCTTTTTCTCTTTTTTTCCTTCCCCTACCTTTCTCCATTCTGTGTTCTGTCTCTGTGGTTTTTTTACCAAAATCATTTATTAAAAAGTGCAGTGTGCTGTGATGAACTTACTTCACCAGTTTTGCTGTTTGTTTTTTTTTTTGTAACTTGGATACTCAGATCTGCCTTTTAGATGAGTTTGTTAATTCTTTGTTAACCAATATGGAGAAGCATTTCTCTGGGACACAGATTGAGGGATCAGCCTGAACCTCTTTCTGGTTAATACATGCAGGAAATGGGACTGTTCATGGATTTCCTGAACCCGATTAACTAAAGAAAGAGAGAAGTAAAAGGTTACACATCTCTTATGACTTGGGCTTGGGTGTAATAAGTGTGTGCGATTTCAACTGTAACTTGAATCTCTCGCTGTGCCTGAGAATCTTTATTTCCCTTCCTCTGCTCTTTGATCCCAAAATCTCTAACGGCTGCTGCTGTGACAAAAAGCAGGTCAGAGTTCTGCTGCTCCATTGTCTCTTGTGCATCTCTGCCTTGTTTATCTTCTGCATGTCTGATCCTTTAACGGCAGAATGAATGTGATCAAATTGTGGGTTCACAATTCTGTTACAAGAGCAATGACACTTGACTAGCTGCCGTGTCACTCGAGATCCTCGGTGGTCTGAGGAAGAGCAGTAGCAGCAAGGTGCCCTGGGTAGTCTGTATAGAATCATAGAATCATAGAATCTTAGGGGCTGGAAGGGACCTCG